CTAGTTTTATTTTCCCTTTTTTGTTTCAGCTACAACAGTAAAACATAAAACAGACTTTAACTATGACTATTTATGTGTGTTTTTAAAAATCCTTTAACAGAATACCTTGATTGGAGGCATTCCATGAATTTGGTTAATTGTAGATTATAATTCCTGCATATTATAATAACTTTACAATTATTATGCTCACCGAAAGTAGCTACTTTTTACTTTCATTAAATGTTTCAATTAGAATATTTTTTTTATTTTTTGCAGAACTCTTTTGTAACATGTAATCATATAATGTTTGAAATGCAACAAAAGCAGATCTTGTTTTTATGCATTTTGGCTTTAAATCTTCTAGCAAGAAGTCAAACAAACCATTATGGTGGTTGTCTCCAGCTTGCTTATGTTGATAAAGCAACCTACTGTTAAAAGCGTGATCCCCAGTATTACAGTTTTCATTCTACAATGTGTTTAAACCAGTCTGTTTGCATGTATTTTGTCTATATCTGTAGTTATATTGCCACATAGTGTTATTTTGCCAGAGCCAGAGCTATATTTCCTTTTTTTTGCCACCTGGGACGTAGTGCATAGAACCTTTGATGGGAACATTAGGGGGAAATTGCAGAGGTGAGAGGAAAATGAGTAAATGGCTTCCTGTGTTTACTCAGAATGGAGAGTGAATTAAAATGTTATACATGGGTTTATCTATCAAATCTAACATGTAAAGCAAAAAAAATAGTAGAATAGTATTTTGGTTAAAACTGCTTTCTGTACTGTTAGTAAAACTTAACGGCACAGATCAACCTACTGCTTGAATAGGTTTTGGGCATAATTCCTCATACCTACTGTAAACTGGATTATGAGTTAGTAGTGCATTAGAAGTACATGAAAGATTGTTTGTGGGGGGAATGCAACATAATTATTGTATAAAATTAAAGTAAAGTAATAAATTCAGTGAAGTTGGATTAACTTGGAAACTCCAAAAAAAATCCAATATGGCCTCCCTGCCGCCTAAAATCTACTGATAGCTGGAGTAATGAGTTTTTTTTATTTCTCTTTCTGTGTAAATTCACGTTTAAAACACAGAGCTGTTCCAGTCTGTAAGAAAAACATTTTTTTACAGTTGAGTTTGCCATTAGTCTGGTTAGCCAGTCACTCAGTAAAACAATTAGCAAATAATACAAATTAAATAGCTGTTATTTGAGGCAATGGTGCGTAGTTGTACTTAATTAAATTCAACTCAATTCAGTTTATTTACGGTATATAGCACCGATTCACAACACATGTCATCTCAAGGCACTTTACAGTTCACCAGATTATACAGTCAAATTCAGATTCAAAGTTTTCTACCTAAGGAAAACTAGTTGATTGCATCGACTCATTGACTCCAAGACAATCCCTCACACTAAGCATGCCTGTAGCGACAGTGGAGAGGAAAAACTCCCGTTTAACAGGAAGAAACCTCCAGCAGAACCAGGCTCAGTGTGAGCGGCCATCTGCCAAGGCCGACTGGGGTTCAAGGAAACATAAGCAGAGATACAAAAAGCAACTGTAAAAGGCGGCCCCATTCAGGAAACACAAAGCCAATCAGATGAGCTCCGAGCCAGCTCCCATGTCAGCGGATGAAGAAAGCACATCCAGCCAGTCACAGTCAGAGAAGCAGGACTACACTGGAAAAACAGGCTGATCTCCAACACATATAAACAAAGGTGTTGATGTCAGCAGCACAGCTGATATTTCTCTCCAGGATGGTGTCATGGCCAAAAACAGGAACAAACCAGATGAAGCTACTATGATGAGAAAAATCAGAGAGAGCATAATGTTAGAGATTGAACTAACAGATTCTGCAGATTGGGAGAATAGAGATAGAATGAAACAGAATTATGAAATAGGGGTCCCTATGTCCTCCAGCAGTCTAAGCCTATAGCAGCATAACTATAGAGATAGCTCAGGATAACCTGAGCCACTCTAACTATAAGCTTTATCAAAAAGGAAAGTTTTAAGCCTAGCCTTAAAAGTAGACAGGGTGTCTGCCTCACGGACTAAAACTGGTAGTTGGTTCCACAGGAGAGGAGCCTGAGAACTAAAAGATCTGCCTCCCATTCTACTTTTAGAAATTCTAGGAACCACTAGTAAACCTGCAGATTGAGAGTGAAGTGCTCTGTTAGGAACATAAGGAACAATCAGATCTCTGATATCAGATGGAGCTTGGCCATTTACGGCTTTATATGTGAGAAGGAGGACTTTAAATTCTATTCTGGATTTAATAGGAAGCCAGTGAAGAGAAGCAAGGATAGGAGAGATATGATCTCTATTTAATTTTCCTCAGAACTACGGCCACTAAAGCCATTGGAACAAAAAAACCACAGAATCAGCTACTGTAATAACCCTTGTAAAATCATTTTTGGATGGATACAAAGACCAAATGGGACATGTACGTTATGCATAAAGAGCAAATTAATTAGAATAACTGATTAGCACTGGGCTTGGCATTCAAATTTTTTTTTTATTTACGCTATTGCAGGATAAATATCCTAAGCAAATTTTACACAACAAGCCACAGTAGCCCTGCTTTGTATTAGTGTGATGTTTATTACAAAATGTATTAAGCTTAAAAATACATTTTAAGCTTAATACATTTTATGCTAGCTGGCTTTAGCATGGCTAACCAAACAGTTGATGGGAACTGGAGTCAAAACTACTCTAGTGTCTGTTAAGATCAAATATAGTGGGAGATTGTGATTTAATTTTTTTTTTTTTTACCAACTTTTAAAGCGTTTTATGATAAAAGGAAGGAAATATTGTGCTTCTTGTCAAATGTTTCAGTTGAAAGAACATTGGGAAAGCTAGCTTATAATTGTAGAATAAAAAGTGAACACAACATCCATGAAAGATAGAGAAAGTTTTATTTTAGTATCAAACCACAAATAATAAATGAAAAAGTGCATAGTTTTTTATTTGATTAATATCACAGCCTTTAATTTTAAAAAATATGGATGCTAAAGTTATGTGCAACAATAATCGGTCCAATCCTTTTTATGAGAAAATTAAATTAAACTAACAAAGATTTCTCGTTTTAAACAACACACTTATAACAATTCAACACAATTAATTTCTAAAGGCAAATTATATAGCAATGAAAAAAACTGTTATCGATACACTTTAAACTTTTACAGAAAACTGTTTCATAATAGAATGTGAAGGAAGCAATGAATCAGAGTTGGCAAAAGTGAATAAAAAAAATTATAATTAGATTTTATGTGAGAAAACATAATTTTCCCCACCACTTCTAGCAACTCATTTAGTACAGTAGATTTTGGACACTTTTAACTATTGTAGAACAGTAAGAAACAAAAACGTGAGCTGCTGTTCAAAGCTTTAGTTCTCTTCATTTTCCCTTTGTTTTCTTTTTCTTCTCAGGATACCATCATAAAAATAAATATTGCAACAGTAGATTGGTTTATCCACAGTTTCTCTTCATTAGATATCAAGTTAGGCGTACTTTTAGTCCTGATCTCCTGTAAACTACTTCTGGCTGTGACTGCAACCCATTAGCTGATTGGTGCTCCCGTCGTAACCAGCTTGTAATAAGCTCCATTCATGGCCATGAGCTGGTCATGGTTCCCCTTCTCAACCACAAAGCCCCTGGACATGACAGCGATGATGTCAGAGTTCTGAATGGTGGATAGGCGATGAGCGATGACGATGCATGTCCGTCCCTCTCTGGCTTTGTCCAGGGCTTCTTGAACAGTCTGTAATTACCATCAAAACACACGCGTATAAATATAAATACATCAATGTGTGTGAAATAGTGCTGACACACGCACTGCAGACGGAGGCAAGATCTGATCTCCCACAAAGGAGACAAAACCATCACAAATTACAGCTATTTGACAATCACGTGTTGATTACTATCATTAGTATGTTCCAGTGGATCAGTGCACTGCAGAGGTCTCTTTGCCGCTCAGCATGGTTCAACCCTTTCAGATGGAAAAGCTACCCCAAAGGGCCACAGATAATGTTCGTCTAAGAGAGTCTCTACCAGAGGGTTGGGATGTACTGTAAGCAGCTTGAGATAATAATAGACATGATGAATGATAATGATGTTAACGATGATAATAATTAACAGCCTGCCCTCTTTGCTGGGGTGCCCAGAGAACACTCAGCAGCTGCACTGTGTTGGGGGGAAAAAAAGCCTTTCAGTTTACTGAAGTGTACCTTCTCGCTCTCCGTGTCCAAGGCGGAGGTTGCCTCATCCAGGAGCAGGATCTTGGGGTCACGTATGATTGCCCTGGCAATGGCGATGCGCTGTTTCTGACCACGAGACAGCTGAGAACCCTGAGAGCCCACGTTGGTGTTGTATTTCTGGAGAAGATTTACATTTTTCAAGACCCTGTAACACCTTGCCGATTTAAACTGACATCTTCTCAACCATTGGCATACGCTGAGCTTTACATGTATTTTTTCAATTTTGGGCGTATATATTAAGAGTCCAGAACTTATGTCCAAAGCCTAATGCCCATGAAATGACACAAGCCAGTGTCCTGAGGGGGGCAGCGATGCACCCGCAGGCGCCCCACCTGCATAAAAAGGTTTTTTTCATCATAGTGTTAATCTAGCTGCTGTTTACCACCCACCAAAAAAAGGAAATGAATAAAAAGAAAAAAGAAAAAGAAAGAAAGAAGGTTTCCAGTCAGAGCAGTTTCAGCATCATGTCTGGTAGGAAATTTGTTGGTCGTGGCCATGAATGCAGGGAGGATCCATCACCTTCTCGCTCACCCTATGATGGGGATGAAGTCTGGAGGAGAACTTACAGTTTCCTCCTGAGAACCCCCATTTATACCAAAATGCTGCCAATACGCCATTATACACTAGCTGTACGTTAGAAACACGTTCAGCGGTCGTCTGGAACACGTCCAACACGTTGACATGCATTAGAGATAAGTTCTCAATAAGTTACGCTTAACTTATGCCCAAGTTACTCATAGGTTTTGGGTAAGCTGGACACCATTACTTGTGAGTAACTTATACTCAATGTATGTCAACAATCAAATAACTTACCAGAAACTTATGCCCGAGGAATAAGCGTACTTCAACGTACTTGCCGTATGTTGACGTGTGCCAGCGTGCTTCATCGTTGTTCACCGTGTTCATATCTTATTCAAAACTGACCCATAACTTATCCAACGTATGCCAGCGTTATTGCCAGATATTTCGTACGTCAGGGATAAGCTGGCTAAATTGTTAAGGTGTGAAAGGGGCATTATATTTTGCTGGGTAAACCTTTTCACCACTAGAACAATCTGGGTTTGGATAAATTTGTTATACAACAGTAAAATGTTAATTGCACACAAGTTTAGTCTGGATCTGGTTCAGGGTGTACCTTGCCTCATACCCAATGACCCATCATGGGTGGCTTAAGTTGCCACAGAACTCAGTGTTAACAGAAGCAGATCCACACTTCCTGTTTGACACATTGAATATTGAACATCTGCTGTACCTCTGGGAGTGCCATAACAAAGTCATGAAGCTGGGCCTTCTTGGCAGCCGAGATGACTTCGTCCATGCTGATTTCTCGTGAGTTGTCTCCATACTTAATGTTCTCCGCAATGCTGCAGTCAAACAGCACAGGCTCTTGTGAAACAATGCCAATCTTGGAACGAAGGAAGGGCACGTTGACGCGAGTTGATTCATGCCCATCAATCAGCTGCAAGAATAAATGTATTTTGCCATTAGTGGAAAGTGGTCTAATAATCCCAGAGTGGAAATACAATCGGCATAATGAGCTATCATAGCACTATCTCTGCTGTAATTTTGCTCCTAAATGTCCAGAAATGATTTTGTCCTTTTTGAATATCTGGCTGACCATTAAGGCAATGTGATACCATTTCCAAACCATTTCCATCGCAGTTAAGACCATTTGATTCCTGGCAGAGATCCCTGCCTGGCACAAAGACAACCCTCTGGTACAAGAACTACCCTTTTTAAAGAGGATGCACTCAGCATTTCTCACCAGATCAATAAAAGTAATGTCAAATACTTCCATCAGCACCTGCATTGTAAGTCTAGCAATTATTTCTTGAATATAAAAACATCAAGCGTTTCATTTCCAGTTATGATGTGCCTCATTATAGTGATTGTACATCACATTTAGCTAACTGAAAGTTCAATATCTGGCATTTCTCAAAAGGTCAGCATCAGCTGTGACAGTGTAATGGTAAAAGGAATTAAACCCATACTTCCTCTCTTCAAGGTTTTAGCTGGCATGTGACAAGCTTGGAGTTAAAGCTGTGAAAGAGTTTGTATAATGTTGATTTTAGCATCATCATGAACTGAATGACCCTCAGTCCTCATTAAATGCACAACCCAAACTCCAGCTCCCAACTCAAACAGTACATGTTGCTGCAGACTTTATTGAACAAGTACAACACTGTCCCCAGAATAAAAATGACTTTGAATGTCTTGTAGCTTTTCTCACCACTTTGCCATGATCAGGATCATAGAACCGCTCTAGCAGCTGCACACTGGTGCTCTTCCCACAGCCACTGCTGCCCACGAAGGCCAATGTCTGTCCAGGCTTTACTGAAACATTTAAGCCATTCAGCACCTGGATGTCAGGCCTAGTGGGGTAAGTGAACTTGCAATCTATGAACTCAAGGTTCCCTTGGAAGTTATCCTAAAAAAAAAAAAACATAAGATAGTGGGATAAAAGCAGAACACAAAGTTTAGATAAAATGATTTTACTTTTATTGTTTACTTCTTCCCATACCCATTTTTCTCCCCTGTTGCTGTAGACGCTGATGGTAGGCACACGGTCCAGCAGCTGGAAGAAACGTGCTGCTGATATCTTAGCCTTGGCATAATCCGGAGTGTAAGAGGAGGCTCTGCCTAAAGCGGTGCCGCTGGTGACGATCGCTGAGATCACCCTGAAACAGAGATAGGTTGTTATTTCTCTTTCATTGTTCCTCCTGGGAGACATTTTTCATAACTCTGTCGTCTGATCTTCAGCAACTTTTTGTTTTTCATTACAGTCTCAGACTCCTAAAATGAAAAGCATTGTTTATGGTTTGTGACAAGAAATGTGGAATGCTTCATAGCTGATCTTTTTTTTTTCAAATTCAGTACCACATACATAAACATTTTTCATTTTAATTGTAATTGTATATACACAGTGATGTGCAGGGGGGAGAGGGCAATTGTTTTTGAAAGGTATGCTAAAGTGGCCTCTTGGGAGCCAAAACATGTGTTAAAGTGCCCTTTCTGTAACCCAAATGCATCTTCAGGTGCCCCCTTGGGAGCTAAGACGCGTATTAAGGTGCCCTCTTGTGAGCCAAAATGTGTATTAAAGTGCCTTTAATAAGCCAAAATGCGTTTTAAAGAAACACATGGTAAAGAGCCACTTTGGGCGCCAAAAAGCATTTAAAGGGCCCTCTTGGGAGCCAAAGCA